GTATTGAACCTAAAGCACTGTTCGATACGGGTACATGTATTGTTGCACCCCTAAAAAATAAAATAACTAAATAAATAAATAAAATGTTAAGTTTCAACTTTATAAAAAGTTGRTAGAAATTTACATTTAAAAAGCATCATCAGATAAGCCACACCCATCCTGTCCATACTGCTCATTTACTGCCTTTTAACACGACATAACGGTTTTTCTGCATCTACAAGACTTTTAGAAGGGACTTCCTCTTATCACTATCCAACAGACAGGATACACCCATTGTAATACAAGTACACAAACGCACTCTAAAATCAGTACTGAAGATGAATACGGGTTTTCACGCACAAACAGATTTAAATGTACCATTTTTTGAAGTCTGGGTAATATTGAGGGTGATGCTTGTCACAGGCGTCCTTCAGTGTTTTATGGAAGTGAAGGCCATCTTCTTTATTAATGTACACCGGGGTCAGATCTGTTCCTCCACCAAACCACCACTGCTTGGTGCCTGGTAACACACACACACAAAGAGATCAGGAAGAAGGAAACAAGAGTTCATTCATTCACATTCTCAACAGTGTCGCTGACACCAAGACACAACCGCTGTCGTAAAGGACTGACACTCACCGTCCTCCTCTTCAAGCTCAAAGTACCGGTAGTTGAAGTGCACTGTGGGTATGTGGGGGTTCTTCGGGTGGATAACGGAGCTCACACCCATGGCACAAAACGGCAGCTTACCTGAAAGAAACAGAAAGCAAATTACAAAAAAATGTTGGACACAAATGAGAGAAGATCTGAGTGTATTTGCATCAAAGGAACTGATGAACGCAGAGTTTCACGGATTGTTTTGGTGAACAAAAAGTCAAAATTCACCATCTTTCCCTTTGAGGACTTTTCCTCTGCTCCTCATTTGCTTCGCAGCCTCCTCGGTCAGGTGCCCAAACACCACGGACACATTGACTCCTGCCTTTTCAAACACTTTTCCATCCTGCATCACACAACTGATTCCCCCACCACCTGAAACAATAGACAAAAAACAGAGTAATTTAATTCTTATATTTTTAGTAAAGTCATTTTAAAATAACATAATTAGTGTAATTCTAACCTTCMTTTCTGTCCCACCGGTCCACCTTGAATGTCCCACCATCCACCTCCTGCAGGGCTTTACAAAACTCGGCCTGAGTCTCCATGATCAGCATCTCCATCTTGGTGCTCATCTCCTCCTTCCTTTCCTGCAGCACACTGATGTCAGTCACTGGAGCAGACATGAAGCCCCGGCATCTCTCCACGATGTCCCCCTCCTCTTCTTTCGTCTTCTCGACGGCTCGGGGGACCATTGTTGCCATCTCTGCCCGCTGGAAGTGGTCAGCGTTGGCCAAAAACCCCGCTACCGCCGCCGCCGCTGTTACCACCGCGGCTCCGCCGAGCGCTAGGGCTCCCCTTCTGGTTCGTCCTGCAGCGGACCTGCCTGCGGTCCCATGGGACATGAACCGTACACCCGGACCCCTGGAAAACCATCTTGCTCCCGGAAACGGAGACGCTGACGTGTTGTGAGTGGCGAATGATAACCACCCAGAGTCTCCTGAATTAGCAAGATCCTTTAAATGTGAACTCAGCCGTCTTGAAGTCTGAGCAGTTTTCTTTACCGAAAAGAAGACAATTGACGCCATTCCGTAGGAGAAAGACTCGCTGGTTTATCGGTGCGTCCAGACAGTGACTGTTTTAAGTAGTAACTACTCACAACATTATCAGAAGTTTTGCCTACGTGCTATCAGTGGTGTTTCAAAACTGTCAACTAAAAGGGGCGGCTGCTTCTGACAGCGGTATTATGGGTAACGTAGTCCGTAGCTGTTCGCGGAAGCAACAACTGGCCACAATTTAGAACTTCAAAACCCAGAATGCATCGCGGGTAAACACTAATGATGCATTCATGGACCTTACATTTGCTCGTTTATTTTTTATTTTTTGTCTAACGGTGATGAATTCAAGTGTCATGCTTTTTTTTTCTACATGAATTTTTTTTTTTTGCCAAGTATCTTTACCATATTTTTATGTTGCTTCTATTATTGGCCATGTTTCTAAAATRAAAGAGGTACAAAATTTTAAGTTTTGTTTCAACCTACCCCTTTCAAAACAAACATAAAACAACCAAAAAACGTTTAGCTTACGTTTTTGGCCAATTAATGTAAGTTACATTACGTTTTGTGTTTGCTTTATGTTTGTTTTGAAACAAAAATAATAATATTTTCACTAGCTGCAACTCTACTCTGATGACCTAATTTTAATAATACTACCTAAGTCAGAAATAACCTACATTTTCTTTTAAGGGTCAAAGCTCAATGTTTTATTTCTCGTTTTTTGTGAATATTGACACGAAGACGAAATTTGACAATGTTAACATTTTCTGTCCTACATTTAAACATTCTCTTATTAAAATGTTAAAAGTAACATTTTTAGTTTGAAAAAAAAAAGTCACACAATATCGCAAAAATAAACAAAAGAATCAACCACATTGCATTTCTCTCATTTCCATTGTGTACATAGGGATTTCGTTGTGTATTTTAGCGTTTAGTTTTATTAGTTACTGATGAGCGCATGCGCAGCTGGTAAAAACGTGTTGTCGGTTACTATGACGACAGGCCTAATAAACCTTTTAGAGCTGACTTGGAGCAGATTATGTCCGCAGGCGCTGCTCCCCAGACTGACACACAGAATGTGGGCCATTTAGATATAATTACGAAACACTCCGACATTTGTTTATTTTAAATTTCGTATCGCGTCCAACTACACGGAAATAAATACTCAGGCAGCGGAAGCCTTGCTGGTGAGTTAATAACAATAACAAAAGCATTATTCAAACCGTTATATTGAAGTAAAACATGGTGTTGAATCTTGTTGTCCAGCACGCTGTTTGTTTCCACTTCAGTTATGTACGTGATAACATATTAGAAGCCAGTGTCTGTTCACTGTAACTGATATGAAAATAATTGAGTTACATAAGATACAGGCTGGACTAGAACAATTTAATAAAACCCCAAAACAAATATAATATATATTTTTTGTTTTTGTTGTTGTTTTTTCTTTAAAAAAATCAAAACAAACAAAAAAAAAGAACACAACCAAATGTGGTTTCAGAGGTCTGAATTTAATTTCTGATTTAAAACAATAACAAGTAAATACGGAGGTGCAGTACTGTTTGTAGCCAACAGATGGTGACAAATCACACATATTCTGTGTTCATAAAGTTGGAGTAGATTCAATTAGTTTCAACAAAATGCCTGACTTACTTTCAAAAAGGTTTTGATAAATTAGCACAACATTATCCTATTTCCCCCTATCATGTTCAGCAAGTTATGAAATTTATTTTTTCATTTTTGTGTTTTTATTGTTTTTTTTTTTTTTTTCAGGTAATGATGGAGGTTGCTTCCACAAAACCTCAGGAGGAGTATGAGGACGATTTTGAAAAGGATCTGGACTGGCTGATCAGTGAGGATGGTGGCAGCGAGGACCAGGTAAGCCTGGCTCTAGTGTACAATAAAACTGGACACACAAATTGCATAATCTCTAATTATCAGTTCATTGATCTCATTTCCTTTTCTTGCATGTTTTGAATCTAGTTCTCCTTACTGTAGACTGTGTACTGAATGTGTCACTAACCCTCAGAGTTCTGCACAAGTGTAACAGTTGATAGTGTTGAGTTACACAACCTGGCACATCCCGCTGCTCGCATGTGAAACCAATGCTGGTGACATACAGTGGCATAYCTTCACTGTACCRCCGCTGGATGCAATATTGATGAGCCAACAAACATATCTGTTATCACATCAGATCACTATAACCAGCTAAGTGATTGGTGATGGTTCACCGACATTAAAACCTAAGTAATGCATTATCTGCCCTCATCTACCACACAGGGTTCTGATGAAAGCGTAGAGGCAGAAATCGACAAGGAGTTGGAGAAAGATGAGAAAAAACAAGGAAGGAAAAGAAACCAGAAGAGAGGCCATAAAACAGACCATTTGGAGGAAGAAGAAGAAGAAGAGAGATGGCCCTCTCCAATGGAGCCATTAGAGTACGACTCGGACCGAGACAGCCCAAGTAAATCCCCTCCTGTAGTACCACCTCCTCTGGAGACGGGTGACCAAACAGACGAGGAAAAGAAGTACAAATTGGATAAGATCCGACAGGCTAACAGAGAGCTACAGCAGCAGGAAACTCCAGACTTGACAAGACAGAGGCGACTTCATTTTAAAGAGGCGCTGGTGGACCTGGCGGTGTCTCCACTCCAGCTGGAGACAGAAGCCAAAGATGACGTGGCAGAAGAAGAGAAGGGCACCAAAGACAGAGTGAAGGTCGCAGATGCAGACAGCGAGGTGTCAGGGAAGATGTCAGAGCTGAAACTTTCCCCTCGTGTGGAGGGCAAGAAACAAAAAAGACTCATCAGCGAGGAAGATCCAGAATCAAAAGACAACAAAGTGCTCGTGGAAAAGGACGGGAAGTTTGACCTCGTCAGCATGGCTGAGGTGGAGAGTCAGAGCGTCCTCCCTCCTATAGCGAGCAGCTTCAGCGACCGTTTGCGAACGTCGCCGCGTCTCCAGCAGCAGGCCGGAAAGATCCACAGCTCCTCTTCTTCTCATCAACTTCCCATCGGCTCGTCTTCCTTCCACCTGGGCGTCGATCACCTCCGAGCACCCAGACCCCCAGCACAGCYCAGGCTCAGACCCAGTTCAGCCAGCCACAGCCAGAGAGACAACCAGAGGAGGAACAGCAAGCGACGGGTGCAGTCTGCTACAGGAACCCCCTGCCAAGYCACCTACAGCCTCTCCCCGCAGCAGAAAGAGCTTCTGCAGAGGATCCAGGAGAGGAAGGAGAGGCTGGCTAAAGAGGTAAGTGATGCATTTAGTTTGTGTGATTACAAAATATATATATTATAAAAAAATATCCCCCTAAAAGTGATTCTAGGCATGGTGACGGATTACTTAGAGAATAACTGGTTTTCTTCTTATCTGCTGGTCAGGCAGAGCAGAGGAAACGTGAGGAAGAGGCGCTGAAGAGGCAGGAGAATGAGCAGGCGTTCAGATCCTGGCTGCTGAAGAAGAGAGGGCAGCTTCAGGAGGAGAGGAGGATCCTACAAGCCCAGGAGATAGAGAGAATGAGCTGTAAGGTAATTAAACACCATCACTTGTCACTACTCCCATAAATATAACCAGAGGGTGTTTACGTCCGCTTCCTTTCATGCAGGTGGTCTGACAAAAAGATGTTCGGCTATATTTTTTACGAGTGATAAAGCACACAGCCTCAGGGAAAATGAAAATAATCTATTGACCCCATCTACAAGAATTACAATACTTTAATAGTTATAAGGCTCTAAAGAAGATACAGACCTGATACATATATATAAATTTGTTTTGTACTCGCTCAGAGGGACTCCAATGACCCGGAGGAGGCCTTCAAGTCGTGGCTCCAGAGGAAGCGGGAGCAGCAGCAGAAGGAGAGGCAGCTGCTGGAGCTCAGGAAAGTGGAGGAGGATAGCTAYCTGCTGCACAGCCGCCAGGAGTGTGAACACGCCTTCAAACTGTGAGCTTCGTTCTTTTGTTTTTAGTTAAAATCACTTGTAATGAAACCTTAATCAGAAAATATTTGTTCAAACCTCAGTATAATAGAGTCTTTCTTGAAAATATTGTTAGAGTGAATAATGAGAGAGAATCTTATATCAGTGCTTTTGAGTTGGATTTTGGAGTTGCAGTAAGAGTGAGTGACCAAATAACCCTCACAATCTGTTTTATCATAGACAAATCTGGAAAGCAAATAGTTGGTAATATTTTTGTATTTGCAAGCCACCAGGCAAACCAGAACATGTCTCCAGTTTAATGAAGCTGGTGATACGAGGACCTCCTGTCACTGACTGATCTTCCTTTGCTCAGGTGGCTGAGGAGGAAGCGTGCGGAGAAGAGAGCGGAGCAGCAGGTGGCTCGAGAGCAGTCCCGTCGCTTTGTGCTGGAGGAGCGGCGCGCTCGGCGGATCAAGGACCTGATGTGTATGGCCAACGACAGCGAACCCTTCAGGTTCACAGAACAGCTGGCTTATCGTTTCTGAAGCGAGCAGGTCCAACTCTTCCTGTCGCTTCACAGGCCTCCCATCAAACCGAAATGACTTTTATCATTTTCATCAGCTGAAACTCAAGACCAGCTGTAAAATCTTAGTTCTGGTTTGTTTATCAGATTGGTTTGATTTCTTGTTCTGTACTGTAAACTCATATTTTGAAAGACTAAAACAAATAAAAAAATAAGAAGTGCACCACAGTGACATTTTCCCAGTGTAAATAAATCAAGATAAATGACCAAAACAACAGAAACTATATTTTAATCAATGTATTAGGTGACATTTTTATGAATAATATTTTGTGTGGTGTCAGCTGAACTTTATTTTACACGGAGCTCCTCACCCAGCAGCTTCAGTGTAAAAACTGAAGTGTTTGGCATTTATTATAATATACCTGAAACTTTATGTATGAATTTCTTTCACACTATCAGACTGGTTGGTTGTTATGGACCTAAAATGCTGACAAAATGATCACTATACTGCTATGAGAAAGGGACAGAATACATAGAGCAGAGGCAGATGAGCTTTGTAAAGAAACTGAGCTGCTTGGGGAGTTGTTATAAATGTACAGCAGAGYCACCCTTCACACACCAGGACATACCTCTCACTCATGGTGTCGATTTTTGGCCWATAACATAAACTTAAAGTTGAACAGCTTGATAAAACTGAACTAGAAAACTAACCAGAACAACTAATTTTTACTCTCCTAAACTTCTTTAACAGTCATAAACATGCAAAAACATCATTTCTGCATGATTTCTCAGCAAGGAATGCTGGGTAAATGCTGGTCTGTCTGACATGAGGTGGAAGAGGGCGGGGCTTTTCAGAAAACTGCTTTCAACACTGCATGGTGTCATATAACAACACCGTTAATTGTGGGCGGAGCTTATTTAACACTGTCCAGTGTYAAGAAAACACTGAGGAAATCAACACTGTGCTTACACCAACACTGGGTGTCAATTTACTCAGAAAGTGTTMAAATAACACTAGAGGGTGTTAAATCAACACCTAAAAGTTTAACACTGAAATTTTAACACTCCTGTTTTTGCTGTGACTACAGACATACAAATCTATATGGAATTATAGTACATGCACATACTTAATGCTTTAACATATTCTGTACATGCGGCATGCTACATGAGTAAATAATGTTGAATCCCATTAATGCTTTTTAGACTAACTTTATTTAGTGAATTTTTTTTTTCATTGACACAATTTTGTGATGTTTTAAATTATTCTTGTTTATCTGAAATTAATAAATACAGCACAGGAACTGCATTATAAAATTGATAAAGTTAGAACAACAAACTTTATTGACTCTATCATTTTAAGTGCTCAGAAGAAAATATATCTTTATGTTGCATGTCAGGAAACTACTAATTTAATAAATACCCGCTGCCTTCTGTCAAAGTAACTACATACAGTATATTAGAATTAACTTAATTTCATTTTTCAGTTGCGACACTTAAACGTGGAAATGAAACAAAGAAAAGCACCATTATCAATAGAAAGTTTGTTTTAATAGGCATGTACCCATAAATTTCTTTTGTGTTACAGCATTTCACAATTAAATACAAAAAGCTGACAATTTCTAGTTATTTTAAATTTGTGTAAAAAAAACCAAAATCACACTTTTACATTTGGATTTACAGTGCATAGTCATCATCATCAATACAAATACAAAGAAACAAAAGATGTACAAAATGTATTCCTTGAAACAGGAATGATTGGCATCTTTTATGAAAAATATAGATTTTTCATAATAAACGCAGACAGCAGCTGTCTAATATTAAACACATAAATTAAAACATAAACACACTCACCATGTCTTTAAATCACTAAATGAAGAATAGTTATTTTCTGCTCCAACATTACACACAACACAAAGACTCAAAAATAGCTAATATTGCTTTTTTTTAAGATTTATACTTTGGCACATAAAAGAGAACATTTTAGCAAATAGTGTATTTAGTGTATTACTTAAAAAAAAAAGGCAGACAGTGTACCGTCTACTTTGAAAATATTATTACTGGCACAGAAATGTAAAAAGCGGTAACATAATGTTAATAATAAATGTGACAGTGCTGCTGGTGACAGGATGTTTTTAAAAACTGTACAATGTTCTTGTATTATTTATTTAATCACATTTAAAAAAATACAAAGTGCAGAAACAAACACAAACAGTGAAACGTCGTCTTCACAGTTCATTAGGATCGCACAAAACACCACAACAAAGGCTGTCACCGAGGGAAAACACAAAAAGATGGAGGGGTAAACACAAGTTCTGAGAAAACTACAGACATMAAACTGGCAACACGAACTTATTAACCCTGCACTTCAATCAGTACAAAAATAGAAACGTTCTGATCCAAAGGTCATTTAATAAATAGTAAATTATTAAAAAAATAAAATAAAATTGATAGTTTCGTTGGAGAGGAGGGTTGGAGGTGATTTATGTTTCGACATCTTACAGCTCATCTTTGGGGTTGATGTTGATGCTTTGACCCCAAATAGATTGTGTGTCTAGAGCCTGGATCACCTCGTCTGCCTGTAGTCTTTCCTGAAAGACAAAAATAAAAAAAACAGTTGAAATCTGAACAAGAATTAAAGGAGACATATGCTTTTTCACATTTAAATCATTCAGTTGGGGTCTATATAAAGTGGAACTGCAACGCTTTGGTCTGAGTTCCTCCTTATTGTAACTCCACAAGCCCCTCTTTACAAAAATCTTTAGATAAGATTCAAAACTTGTATTTTACATCAAAAACACACACACACACACACACACACACACACACACACACACACACACACACACACACNCACACACACACACACACACACACACACACACACAGAGATGAGGTTAATTGAGTTACCAGTTCCCTGTAGAGCGGGTCCAAAGTGAACCACAGAGCCACAGCACACCTCTGCCCACTGGTGACGGCCTTCACGCCGTGGGGATTCTCCCCCCCTGATGAGAAACCCACCAGCCGGCCACACTTCGGTTTCACTGACGCCTGAACGAAAAAAAAAAAACACAACAAAAAAAGTAACTGAATGTTAAGACTTCACTCGAATCCAGTTCCTGACTGTAGTTCATGTCTGTCAAACTCAAGGCCCGTGGGCCAAATCTGGCCCTCGTCAACATTTTATCAGACCCCAAAGGTAGTACTTTAAATGTGCAATAGTTTTATGGTTTCTCCATTTGTCACATTCTTCCCACGACAGCTGGCCGACACCGAAGCCAAGAAAATGAATTTCGGAATTTTTCAGCAATCTTTGAGCAATTAATTATCTCTTTCTGTTTTCTTTTCTTGAATTTTTAGCGAGCGTTTAAATTTGACTACTCAAGAGTAATTATCTCACCGTGACGGTTTTAGCATCCATTTCTGTGAATATGAACTCCCCTCCATCAAAGTCTCCGTTTAGGTACAACAGTGCGCTGAAAAAAGTACAAATGAAAACAGATCCATCAGCACAGCGGACTACAAGAAGACGAGTGGAGGAGCTCAGCATCACCACACCTGTAGTCTCTGTAGGTGTAAGCTGGAGGCTCCTTCCAACACTCGTGGGCGTCGGGGTCCAGCAGACAGTTGTCAGCATGGATGGGATGGCTCAGGTCATTCCTGTGATCCTGCTGGCCTGAGACAAAAGAACAAACATGATTTCATCAATACTTAGAGAGATTGATGGTGAAAAATATTTGCCACACTTATTTTTGTTTGTGTTTTTTCTTTTCTTTTTTAAAGGCAATCGTTCCTGAGAAAGCCTAAAAACCTGTGGAAATTCTTTTTTTTAAATTATTTTAAATGCTCTCGTAAACTCTAGTGTTCCTTAGAGAAAAAGTCAACCTTTATAAATTCTATTATTTATGTTTTCTGATTCCATATTTATCGTATAAAATAAAGGGTTTATTTCAGTTATGAGGTGGTCAATTTTTCCTCTAAGCAACACTTACTGTCACAAAGTTAAAGGACCTTCTGAGGGTTAAATAAATATATAAAACTATTAAAATATGCAAAAAAAAATCCATAAGAGTATAACAAGGGTTAGTTGAGAAACTAACAAATTCTCAAGTTTTGAGACATTGGATACAATTTAATTATTGATTACCTGCGAATACTCACAAATAATTACACAATAATGTATTCATAAGCTCAGTCTAAATGTAACAYACTAACTTCAATAATACCACTTGAAATGAATGTTAAACAGTTTTTGTCCTGCGAGTTTCCAACCTGAGATGGCGGTCCGACACACCAGGTGTGTGTAGGAGAAGTGCAGAGTCGAGTTCAACATGAAATAAGACTCGACGATTCGTCTCACTCGCTCGCTGSTGTCGTAGAAGAGGCGAGCGCTCTGCATCGGTACTCTGCCCTCGAAGCCGTACTGCAGCGATTAAAAAAAAAGGTTGTCTGACGTCATCATCGTCCCAGCGATTTAACGCTTTCTGTGCTTTTGCAACAAGTTTGTTGCCTTTTTGAAAGTGATTTGGACAAGTCAAAACCTTGTTTGACAGTCAGAGTACCTGCAGAGTCTTGAGCACTGTGGCTCCTTCAAACTTCTCATTGGGAGTGTGTGGAGACGTCCTCCCTCTGTAACCGTCTCCTGCCATAGTGACAGCCTGAAAGAAAAAAAAAGACACACACATTTTACAATGAACTAATTGTGTGAATGCTTCATAGCATTCACACAATTGAGATMATTTTTTCTTCCATATGTTTTTTGGCATCTAACTCGTTCCACAATCTTTGTTCTATTTCAACAATTCATACATCAAAACGTTCAGCTCAATTATGACAATCCTGCTATGACTTTTGGTATTTCAGCAGTTTTTACTTTTTCAGCTATTTCACATTTTTTAGCCACTTTTTTTGCCATTGAAAATGAATGGAGCYGTTTTCAACATCCTTAAAATCCTTTAAAATGTTTCTAAATCTTTACAGATCCTTACACCTTTTGGTCTGGTACTGCTCTTTTTAACTTCCCGTCTTAATTTTTTGCTACGTTTTTGCTAATTTTAGGTATTTTCTGCAATTTCAGCTAAAATTCAGCTTCTTTCTGCTATTCTTCTGTTTTTTCCATCTTTTTGTGCCTTTTTCTGCTAATTTGTGCTAACTCTGCTCCTTATAGAGCATTCTGCTATTTTCATCTATTTGCTGCAACTTCAGATAATTTTTAGCTGTTATTAGCTAAAGTTAGCTTTTTTAAACTAAATACACAGTTTTTGTTGCTAATATAACTTTTTTCTGCTAAGTTCTGCAACCTCAAGCTCATTATGCTTCATTATGCTAATTAAAGAATTTCCAGCTACTTTTGAACAATTTWACTTAAAAATTTGGCTGTTTTAGTTACTAAAAATTGACACTTTTTTGTACATTTATGCTTTTTTTTGTGCCAATTTTACATTTTTTTCCACTGTTTGGGTGCTAATTACAACTTGTGGCTGCTACATTAACTTATTTTATGTTAATTTTAGCTTCTTTTAGCTATTCTTTTGCATTTTTCTACTTTTTTCAGCTCTATTTCAGCAGTGTTCAGCTTACGTTTTCATGAAGAAGCATTCACATTAGCGTTTTCGCAGGAAATGCAATCTCTCTAGTTAAGTCTTTATTTCATCTGAACTGTGTCATGTACTCACATGTGCCAGGTTTCTGAGCTCAGAACACTCCTCCTCAGCTATAACATGATCCAAGAGGACCCGCTGGCTCCCGTTCAGGGCCAAAGAGTTCTGCACCAGCTGCACACTGTCAAATAACAGGGGGCCACCTACACACATGTATCAGTAAAATTATTATTATTTTTTTGTCAACTGTTTAACACCTATTCAGTTCATCTTTAGTAGCAACAAGGGTTACCTTCTCTGAGCTGCTGTAGAACAACAGCAGAGATGTTTTTTTTCTCTGAGATGGGAACATACTCCATCCAACCATCAGTGCCGGATGGAATCCTGAGACAGATAAAAACACAAATCAAGATTTTAAACATCAGTCGGGCATTAAAATTGTAAAAAAAAAACATGTTGCTAATTTGAAAAGTTGTTTGTGGCGTTTCTTTTAGTTTTGTTTTGGTCCCTCCCAGTTACTGTGGAAAAACATGATGAAAGTCACTCTTATAAGGGCTGTAGTTGTTTTAGTAATCTTGTTTTCTATCTATGATTCTGGTGATTAATCAAGAAATTGGACAAAAAAAAAAGATCAGGTCTTGCAGTAACGACTTAAGCTTATTAATTTAATATTGTGAACTTGCTGATGACCCTGCTCCAATCAGAGAAAAATTTATATTTGATTTATACAGTTTAAGCTCTGTAAGCTTTATGTGTGTGAGGTTTGAAGGTGCATTAATTAAAAGCACTCTGTCATTGATTCATTTTTCAACCGTCACAGAAAAATTTAAGTGCCGTAAATTCAATTTTACAGATTGTAAAACTGAACGTGAACTTTTATGTTAGAAGCTGAGTAAGTAAAATAGGTCAAAGTTTGAGGTTTACTCACTGAGTTCTGTAGAGTTCACTTGTTTGTAAACTTGCCTTGAGGATTTTTGGTAATCGAGGTACTTGAATTACTCAAAGAATTGTTTCAGCTCCACACACTTATCTCTTTTTCTGCTAACAATGCTTCTTGATGCAGTTTTCTGTGTTCCATGTAGGTGATTCACGATGTTCATATTAGAAAACACAGCTTCTCTCACCACACATAACTTTAAACAAACAGCATGCTATCTCAAATCATCTTACCTGTTTGAATCATTCCTTCCACCTGTGTTNGTGCTACACAGCACGGGGACACCTGTTACCATGTTAGCCTCCTTTGAGTCAGCAGGAGAACTGATACTGACCCGAGACGTGTGGACTGGTTCGCCAAAAACTAAATCAAAACTCTGACATCATGTCTCTTAAAACAAAGTAAAACAGCCATTTGACACTCCC